CACTTGGCCCTCGTCAGCAGCGGACGCGGACCCTCCTTGCGCTGGCGGCACCTGCTCCCTGGAGGGAAATGGGGAGGAGTGGCCCAGGAGCCCAGGGTGTGGGTGGCCGGGCCCCGTCTGGCCTCGCGGAGGGCTCCACAACCAACTGGCGGCCCCATTTGCGTGTTTTACTTATATTCGTTATTTAATGTAACAATGACAAAGCACACGTGTGCCTAGTCGCTTCTTAACTATCAGAGAACCACATTTCAGTGTGATTGGTGCCTTTGCGGGCCTGCGTATTTTAATCTGTTTCACTGCAGGGCAGACGGCCCCCGACTCACGATGGTTGGGCTCCCATTTCTGACTTTATGATGCTCCCCGGGCCAGTGGCTACGTGCAGTGCTCTCCGTGATGCTGGGTGGCGGCAGCGGGTGACTCTGCCCGGCTTTGCTGACCTGGGTGTCCGAGCGTTTCGGGTGGGCCGGGCTGGGCTGTGAGGTCGGGGAGATCAGGTGTGTTAACTGCATTTCCAGCTTAGGGGATTTCCAGCTTGTGATGCGTGTGTCGGGAAGTGACCCCATCGTTGAGTCAAGTGTCTGCACCGAGCGAGTGTCTCGGCTTTTCCCAGACGGTCCAGGGAACAAAAAAGGGCACCTTGGTGCCCCTGGGCACTTGGGTCTTTATTCTCCCGGCAGAAGCCATTGCTCTGGCTGCAGGTCAGCAAGGGTCGCCCCGGGGTGGGGACAGACAGGTACATAGGGAAATGCAAGTATTAGTAACGATTTTGTTCTCGAATCGGGGTTTTCGTCACAGGTACTTACAGCCGAATTCTGCCCAAAGTAACTTTATTTTTGTTTTCTCAAACACATCAGAATAGGCCACTTGCTAATCTTGAAACCAGCAAGACTAGAAAAGAAACGAAGCTCCCCTTGCAGCCCACACACTCCCCAGGTCCCCCGGACGAGCGAGGGGCAGAGCCCAGGAAGACGCCAGCCGCCCTCACCGCGGACCGCAAGCGGCCGGAGCCAAACAGGTGTCTGCACCACTGAGCCGCAAAGGACGCTGACGCGGCCCGGCGGTCCCTTCTCAGCGGGCTTCCACTCTCCAGCCACGTCCGACATGCAGGTGTCGCGCTGGCCCGCCTGGTGCCTGCGTGTGGCCCTCCCGTGCTGCCGGCCCCCGGGGGCTTCGGGGTGGTCACACAGTCGCACGGCCCCAGGCTTCCACGACTCGCCGTTTTCAGTGCCGGCGCGGTCGGTTAACACCGCCACAGCCGTGCAGGGAGCACGTGGTGTGGCTGGGTGTCCTGTCGAACAGGAAAGGCTCCGTCTCCGGGCTGGACTGTTCTACAACTAGCAGTGGTTTCAGGGCAGGCCGGCGTGCTGGGGACAGGGGCAGGAAGGGTGGAAGACTCTTTGGGGCGTCCCTGGGGCACAGCACAGCCCCGGAGGCGGGGTCCCCCTAGGGGGACCCTGGGGAGCGCCTCTCAGGGGCGCCGTGCCCGTGGGTGTGGCCACCGCCAGTCCTGCATCTCGGCCTCCTTCTAGCCCGGAGCATCAAGAACAGAAGCGGCCACTGTGTTTACTTATTTAAACGCAGACTTGTTACACCATTAAACTTACAGAGACACCTTTATAACGTACATGGTCCACTCAAAACCAGCTAACGCTGCCCTTCTGTCCGACTGAATGACGAAACAATGTCACATGTCCTTCAAAATGAGTCGGTACGAGCGATGTCTGTCACATGCTAAAATGACCGACTGAGCCTATGTAAGGTGAGATCCAGTCCTGACTGACAGCCGACAGAACTGCCCCCTTCACAGGCAAGTGTTCCCTCTCCTCAGCGAAAGCTTAAGCTGCATCTTCCTGTACTGCGGGTAAAGCTGTTTTAGACACACCTTCCCTCCACCTGAGCTGAATACAAGCCACGAGGCCACGGTGCAGACAGGACGCGGGGGCCGGGGGGGCCCTGAGGGTGGCCAGCTGCTGCGGCCAGCCCTGCAGCGGGCAGCAAACTAAAACACTAACAGCGAAGACACCCAGTTGCTGTGCTGGTTTAGAAGAACAAAACTTCCAATAAATACAGACAAACAAATGTAGAGATGAGAGAACAGATCTGGACCGGGTCTGCGGACTCCAGGGCTGCACCACAGCGAGCCCGGGAACGTGGAACCCCAGAATCAGGCTTTGACGTTCAAGAACGCGCCATTGCTTAACCTCTCGCACGCGTGGCTTTCTGTGCCCTCAGAAAGCCCGGCTGTGTCACCTACTTAGTGGGGCTGCCGAGCACCATTTTTAACTTTAAAACAGTAAAACACGCGCCAGTGCTTTACACACGTCCCATGCCCGAGCTGAAGCTGGGCCGTCTCAGAAGCCGGCTGTGACACGAGCAGAGCTGGGACTGGAGTAACCGTTGTGACCCGCAACGCGGCCCGCTCCGCCGCGCTCCCTGAAGCCGGGCCGTGCTGCGTCGTCGTCACACAGCAGGACGGCTCCGGACAGCGCCCTAGTCAGAGCTCAGACGAGGGGAAGATGAGGGACGAGCGAATCCGCCACTTCCCACGACCTGACCACAAACAGCTACAGAGGGAGTCTCGCGAAGCGGAGCAGAGTGACGGGCAGACACCAGGGCCGGGGCTGTGACCTCGACGGCGGGGGCTGTGACCTGGACGGCGGGCGCTGACGTGCTGCCCCCGGCCACGGCGGAGCAGCCACGTTCGCGTCCGCGCTGTCGAAATCTAAGACGCCCGCGCCCCCGCGTCAACGGCTGCCGTCTGCTGAGAATAAACGGGTCGTGTGAAACGCAACCCCGGGAGTCACAGAGAACTGCAGATGCCACCTGCGTCCACAAAATGGTTGACAAAAGGTATTTTTTCTAAAATCAAGATTTAACTATCAAAAATAAATTTCTAAACCAAAAGGGAAGCATCCACGTCAGTGGTCCGCAGCATCTTCACGCTTCCGGAGCACGGGGGGGGCGGCACCCCGGCCGCCTCTCAGCTCCGCGGCTGCTCCGCTCCCTCGATGCCTCGTGCGAAGAGCCGGACCAGCTGGCAGTGGACCCTGCGGGGACAAAGGGCCACACTGAAACCCCACGTGCCCCTGCCTCGGCCCCACGGCTGGTCACGGGCAGGGATGGGGCCTCGTGGAGGCTGACTCTGGGTCCAGCCCCCGCAATGACAGGTCAGGATGCACGGTGACTTGACACTCCAGGGAGATCTGTGGTATAAAGGGCAGCCGACTCGGCCGCGCAGAAACCGCGGATCAGAAGGCCCGGTTCTAGTCCAGCGCCCACTTCCCTACCCGGTCTCACTGGCATGCAGCTCGCAGGCCCCGGGAGCGCTGCATGCGGGACACCCTTATGTACGAGATGTGCAGGCAGCGTTGGCCATGAAGGACACGCGGGCCCAAGAGCCTGGGGGACGAGGAGGGGGCCGGGGTCCCCTGCAGCCCTGTCTTCCACGAGCATCCCAGCGGGCAGTGCCACCGTCCCAAGGTACTGATGGCATCGCAGTGTCCTTGGAGATGGTGGGTGATGAACCCGTGACTAAGTGACTCGCTGTTCAAGGCATGGTAACATTTATCCAGATCCATGGGACACGTTTCACAAAAGAATTGCCTGGCTTAATTCCTGAGGTGTCCTGTTTGGGGATGAGCCGGCACTTAACGCTGATTCCTTTCATTTCACCTGTAAAGCGAATGCATAGGCACCAAACCCCTGAGCGTATGGCCAGCCTCGGGGCTGTTCCTGTGGCCCGGTGGCTGCCCCTCGTCTGCAGATGTGAGCTGGGCAGTCACTGCCCCACTGGCTACGAGAACGGGGCGCACACGGACGGGGGACTGGGTGAGGTTCACTAGCTCTGTCTGGACTCTAATGGGAGAAGGTACATCTGGACCCAGCAGCTGGTTGGTTGAAAAGCCACGTAAAGTGGAGAATTATAAACAGGATGTAGAGACCCCCCGCCAAGTGCTCTAACTCAAACACCGGAGGGCTCACCAGCACCCCTCCTTCCCACAGTCTGCTCCCTGCCACCTGTCACGTAATCTGCACTGTTGTCATCAACAAGTGTCCACGGTGCTCTGTTCAAAGTAGACCAGGGTCGTAAAGACACAAGCACAGTACAGATGCTTCTAGAAATTTACGCTTCTCCCCCAGTCTTGTATAATTTTTATGCCCACACCTCATTTGATATCCTTTTAAAAAAACTTCCATCGTGTCTTTGACGAGGAACAAAACACGCTCACATGTCACCCGGTCACGTGATACACGTCGCACCAGTACGTGTGAGCTGGAACACAATCACAGATTTCTAAGACCAAGTATAGTGCGCCCCAGCAAGTTTGGGGAGGACCCGCCTCCCACACCCCGCCGGCCAGCGGAGCAGCCTGGACCCCTGACATATGGCCCGCAGGGCGGCAGCCTGGGCTCTGAGGCTGGAGCGGCTCCTGGCGGACATGGTGAGCCCGGGACTCAGGTGGCGGCCAGGGAGGCCACGCTGTGCAGCTGGAAGGGAGATCGCCGGGGCCGGGAGACCGAGGCCAGTGCTGGGGAGCAGGGCGCGGGAGAGGAAAGGGATGAAATCGAGGGGCTTCGAACGCCTGCGAAGGTGGCCCGCACCCCAGCACCTTCCCACAATTAGATGGTGGGTATTCAGCACGTGGAGACACAGGCATTTGGGCACACCCGTCGCGGAGGGTCTGAGCTGCAGGCTGCAGGGCTCGCAGGCCCCTGGGGGCACCTGAGGGCACACCCCGGCGTGCTGTGACCCAGGGCCACCTTCGCTCACCTGACCTCGATGGCAGAACTGTGCAGAATCTCCCCATCGCAGTTCCAGGAGCTCCTGGAGACAGGGCAGCAGCAGGAGGGGTGCTGACTGCAGATCTCCCCGAACCGCTTCCCCCTCTTGCCGAGCTCCCCGTCGTCGTCCTCCAGGTGCTTCGGCATAAACTGGAATTTCTTGATGCGATAAACTTCGACGAAAGTGAAGTCGAACTAGCGGCGGGGAGGAGCGGGTGTTACATTAGCCGTGCTGGGCAGGGATGGCCACGCCCCCTCGGGCGCGCCCGCCAGCTCTTCCCGACTGCACCGGCCCCCCGAGGACACGGCCCCCAGGCAGCGCTCTGAGCCGCTCTGCCCAGCTCCCTGGATGACGGCAGATGGGGAGAAATGGTACCTGCCCTCGCAGGTGCCAGGCAAAACACTGAGGACTTGGGCGTCCCCGCTCACCCCCGAGGATCCGGGAGCCACTTAGCAGTGACTTGTAGGATTATTTATCTTCTTCGCAAGTACTATTTCAAAGCCGCTTGAAAATACTGCTGGACTAGATCTTCAGTGCAACTTAAGTTGAAACAGATTTCGCCACAACCAGAGCCTGACCACCTGTTCCATTCCCTCCCCATCACGAGGCTCAGGGTCTCCCCTGCCTCAGCTACAGGCCGCCAGCGACTGCGGGAGGAACTCTGTGGGGAGCGGCTGCCCACGCCCGTTTCTGGGAGCCTAGAGGTTTACTGCCAGCCACCTGCACGGGCAACGCAGAATTTCACTGTATTTTTCTATTCTGTTTTGAACCAGAAAGAGAAACGACAAGAAAACATGTAGGAAAACGTACGTAACCATCCTTGCCTCCTAGTTTCTGTGCTCAAAGATCTTACATTTTCAAATGAGATGTTAGAAGGAGTGACGGTGACTGAGTTTAAAACGAGTGAGACGCAGAGAAACGGCCCGGACACGGCCGCGGAGGGCAGGGCACGCACCTGGTCGTGCTGGTTGGTGTGCCTGATGAGGAACCTCAGAAAGTTGAACCGGGAGCACTTCCGGATGAGGATGAGGTCCAAGGACCCGTCTCCCAAGTGGGCGGCCGGGGAGAGGCCCCCGGGGCTCCGGGAACAAGCGCAGGTCATGTTCATGGCGTTGATGGCCAGGAACTTCCCGCAGACGACCTTCCACTCCTCCATCTCCTCTGGAGCGGGAGGAAGCATCGCGGGCCGCACGTTAGGTGCGGGCGGGTGGGGACGGGAAGGGACAGGGCAGTGTCCGTGCTCCTCTGTGGTGGGGACGTGCATTCAGCCCAGACGCTCACACAGTCCCCCCTTTATCATCGACGCAAAGGACGTCACCACGGAAATGGGGCCAGCTGCTGTGCCGGGGGTCCCCCCCGAAAGGCAGAGCCGTGGCACTCGTCCTCCCTCCCACAGCGACTTCTGGACAGCGATTTCGAACAGGGGTCACCTAGTCTGGCCTGACAACGATTGTGTGGCCTGTGAGCTAAGAACGACTCACATTTTAAAACGACTGAAAAACAATCAAGGAAAATGTTTTATAATGTCTGGAAATGACGTGAAACTCAAATTTCAGTGTCCGGAAATAAACTTTCTGGAACACAGCTGTGCCCATTCCTTTCCGAGCGGCTGGCAAAGCCTGGAGGCTTCGCGGAGCTGCCCTAGAACATTCTGCCCGGGACTGTGACGCGTGGAAGCGGCAAACACAGGCGCCTTCCACGGCGGCCACTCTTCCCGCGAGCCTGGCCAGGGGCAGCCGTTCGCGGCTGCCTGAGGCCAAAGCTCAGCCGGACGTGCAGGGTGACAGGGGCGGGGGGAGGAGGCGGGTCCCCCTGCTGAGGGTCCTGACACGCAGCTGGGACAGGGAGTGTTTCGGAGACGTCACCTGAGTTCTCCAAGCCGTACAGCGACTTCTTCTGCTCCTCCTCCAGCTGCTGCCTGCTCTGCCTGCAGACGAAGCATCTGGAAGAGAAAGGTGCCTCCTGAGCGTGCGGCACACACACGGACGCCTGCTCACGCCAAAACGTTCAGAGTCGAAGGCGTCCCCGAAATCGTTTTTTTCCACGTTAACCTGAACTCTCGAAATTAGGTTTCCATTTAAAAATCACACGTCATTCGCGAACACTAAAAGCAAAGGGCGTCGCTCGGGCCGTGGCCTGGCACCCGAGGGCCGGCTCGAGAGCGATGGCCAGACAGGCCCAGACTCCAGCGGCGCCTTCACAGGCCGCGTCGGCCTGTGCTCTCAGGACAGAGGCGATCGTGGCGACTGTGCCGCCAGTGACCAGCGAGTCACTCGGGACAGCTGCCCCGGGACTCAGCCATCAGCCTGGGGGTGTCTGCGGCCTTTGGCACCGCCGGGCTCGGCTGCCAAACGGGGTGCGTGTTTGCACTGGCGACATCAGCTCCTCGGGTTTCGTGGTGCTGTGACTCGAATCCTGGCTGCATCTAACGTCTGCTTTTACGGCCCCAAATTCTTCCCTTAAAGAAGGAAAGACCAGGGGTGGGGGTGGGGGCGGAAGCCGGCGTGTGACTCAGAGGAAAAGCGTGAGTCCTTCAGGACCCCGCACCGTCCACGTCCGCAGAGCGCAGAGCAGGGGCAGACGCCCTGCTGTCGCCACTGGGCCACTGGGCCATGCGACTGATGTTGACATTTATTGCGGGTTCTGCTTTAAAGTGGTCACATATGGCTGATGACGTCCGGGGAGCACTGAGCGAAAAAGCAGTGGCTGCTGGTCATTCACGGGTCCACGTGCTCAGAGAGCCTGCACTGGCCGAACCAGGCACGGACCTCCCCGCGGGCCGACTCCCGGGTGCTCCCTGCTGGGCTCGCCCTTCCCGACTGCAGGGCAGGCGCCCAGCTTGTTGCAATGGGCCAGGGCCTCAGCTGGGTTTGGGGACGGGAGGCTCCACGTGCATCTCTTGCGGAAAACACCTGTTCTGTCCCGTGATGCCGTTGCCATGGTCCCCTGCAACGTCCACACACAGCTATCGGCAAAGTGGTTTTGCCTTTCATAATTTCCTGCGTGTTTTTCAACCCTCAGAGCCCGCACCGGGGGCAGGCAGCATGATGTGCGCCCTACCCCAGGGGGCGCTGTGGCCACGCTGGGCCTCCCCTCATGTCCCATCCGTGGCACGGGGACCGTCACTGGAGAGGCGTGGCGAGACCTCTCCTCAGGGTGCGTGTGAGCTGGAGAGCACCGCGCTGCCCCGCGCTGGCTCTGGGCGCAAGGTCCGGTCTGCGCGCCAGCCCGCGTCTGGGACGTATCGCCCACGACCTGCCACGAGTGACAAACACGTCGGCGACACGCTTACCCTGCTCGGCAGGGCTTCCTGTCCCTCGGAGACCCCACCGTGTGCTGTGCTGGGAGGAAGGACACCGTCCCTTCGTAGCAGTGATGGGACAGAAAGGTCTTCAAGCCTGGGAGAGTGAGACGAAGGGAAACTGCCCGTCACTGCCCGTCACGACACCCAGATTCTCCGCTTCAGAAGCCGAGCGAGCTAAGATGAGCGTGCCTGCCGGAAGGCACGGACCGGGCGGGGGGCTCCCCACGCGGGACGGCGCGTCCGGCTGCAGCGTCAGTGCGCCCCAGACCCAGCGTGACAGACCAGGGCGGCTTTCAACGCTGGCAAAGTGGCCGTCGTTGCCACTGGTGACCCCTCAGGGCCTAGACGACGTGGCCAGCGTGCTCTGACGTGACTCTGCCTGTGGGTCTCTGCGGGGCTGGCACCTGTGAAGCCCCCGATGTCCGCATGACTCTGAGGCCCATTTTAGGGCAGAGCCACCAGGCAACTCTCTGCTCCTTCAAGACTGTCGGCAGTGTCCCCATGACCCCAGGCTCGACTCCCAGGCCATTGTGACAACCCTGGCATCTTGGAAGAACCGGGACAAGGACCGTGGCCTGCCAGCCCCTCGCGCAAACTGCGCCGTCCACTGTGCTGCCTGCACCCCGACACACAAAGCCACGCCGAGCTGGCCTGGCCTCCGTGCACCTGCCGCCCAGCAGGACACAGGGGAGTGGGGCTGAGGCACCCGGGCCACCGCGGGGTGGCTCCCAGGGCGCCCGGGGCCTGCCAGGCTCACGGCCACCGCGCAGCTACAGGGCGCCCGGCCCGCAGCCTCTGTGATGGGAGCTCACCTCCCGCGGGCGCCCTGCAGGTGCGGTCAGACGAGCTGTGTGAACGCACCGTTCACCGCGCACTGCTGATTTACCTGAGAAGTCGTATCTGATGAGACCCATCCACCGCTTCTTCTCACTGTCCCTGATGATGTCCCCGTAGAAGCCGTACCCCAGCAAGGACACCCAGTACCGCAGCAGCGTGCCACCGTGATGCACGGAGGACACGTCCATGGCCAGCGAGTCCCCTGTGGAGAGAAGCCCCGGGGGTGAGCCCGCTTCCTTTCTGCTCGCCCGCACCCCGTCCCCACACGGTGCCCAGCAACATGCGAGGCAGGGGAGCTGGGGTCTGCTCTCTGGTGTCGAGTCACGTGACTGACAGGTGACGCATTTCCAGAACGGGCGTGGGAAGCCGTTCTGTGGGAAAGGAGCATGATCACGTCCACGAAGCTCCCTCGGTGTCACTGCTGGAGAGGAGGGGGCTTGACGACGAAGGCGGACACGCGGCATTGTGAACACAAGACCAGGAGCGGAGTCCGCGCGGTCACACGTTCCGTGACGGGCACCGTGCGAGCTGCACCGTCGGGGGCGAGGGGCGGGGAGGGGGCCATGAGCCTGCTGTGTGGGGGCCTGGACATGTCTGAGCCCATCAGCAGCCGCTCCTTTCTGATCCTGTGACCAGTAGCACAGGTGGTTTCCCGGCCTCAGGGACGGTCATTACAGAGGACACGCAAGGGACAGTAGACAGGACGTGGAAAGGGCATGGCAGGCAGCGAGGGACTCTGGCCCCATGACGGGCCGAGCTCCGACCGGGGACTGAGCAGCGTGCGGGCCGCCGGGCGAGCTGAGACACCTCTCGGACAGGGGCAGCTTGGCCAGTGCATGGGGACGCCCAGGGGAGCCAGCCCGGCCACGAGGTACCAGGCTCCCCAAGGTTGGATGGGCTCTGAGCAGGGCTTGCATTTTTGAAGAGCCCTCTGATGGCCGTGGGAAGACGGGACGGGACGGAAGGTGGCAGGGAAGCTGCAGGCGGCCGGGGCCCCGAGGACAGTGAGGCCCACAAGCCGCTCGCTGCGCACAGAGCTGCCCCAGCCGCAGAGGCCGGCAGGGGACCCACCCACGATGATGTGCAGAGCCGACGTCTCTGCGTCGTCCGTGCCGACCGTGGAGTAACACACGCAGTCCGTCGACCCTGAAAGGGGAGGGAGAAGGTCCTCAGAGCCGTGGTGATGGTCCCGGAGCCCGAGGAGGAGCCGGTGACGCGGCTGGGAAGCCCCTCCTCCTCCTCCGTGGCCCGGAGTCAAAGCGGAGGAGTAAAGACGATTTTCCTACGGAACGGATGTTGGAACCACCGAGGCCGACTCATCGGAAGTGCCGGGACTGACCCTGCAGTGATATCCGCTGGCCCCTGATGGTCTTGGGGTGCGAAGGCCCCGAGACACGGCAGCAGCGGTCGGCACACAGCTCAGCGCTCTGCACTGTCCCCGCCCCCAGCTGCTACGAAGTCGGGCAGCGGCCCCGGGGCCCTGGACGGCGAAAGGGACGGACTGGCTCGCAGGCGTCTCCCGCGGGGAAGTGTGTGCACGAAGGACGGCTTGTGACGGTCCCAGCGTGCGGAGGGCTGCACCCACGTCACAGAAACGCACCCCGGCTTCTCTGTGCATGTGCTTGGTGACCGGGAGCCCCAGCCATCGCCCCCGGCGGACAGCCGTGTGAGCCCCACTGAACACAGCGAGCACACGTCTGGCCGCAGCCTGGGCGCCCCTCCTCCTGTCCACCTCCACGCCTGCAAGGTGGGGGTGACCTCAGAGCACCCAGCTACACCTGCACCCCGAGAGCGGGGCCAGGATGCTTCTGCTCCTTCCTAAGCCTGTCTCGCTTCTGACTGAGTCACCCCCCGGCGGACAGCCGTGTGAGCCCCACTGAACACAGCGAGCACACGTCTGGCCGCAGCCTGGGCGCCCCTCCTCCTGTCCACCTCCACGCCTGCAAGGTGGGGGTGACCTCAGAGCACCCAGCTACACCTGCACCCCGAGAGCGGGGCCAGGATGCTTCTGCTCCTTCCTAAGCCTGTCTCGCTTCTGAGTCAGAATCCGGGCGCTGTTCCCAGCCTGTGTGGGCAGAGGCTGCCCGGGGGACGCCCCACAACAGACTCCTGAGCCTCCCCACCGTCCCCCGGATTCTACCGCAGCAGGTTTGGGACTGGGCTGAGCGACAGACGTGCTCAGGAGCTGGAAAACCCCACTGTTTCCCAAGAATAAACCGTGAATGGCTAGATCTAGAATGCACGAGGCCGCACTGGCCAGTCAGCTGGGGACGAGCTGGGACGACAGGCACACACTCCGGCCACAGCGAGGGTCAGGGCCTCCGCCCGCAACCCTGGGACGATCTGCAAGTCTCTCGTCACAAGTGACGTCGGACGATGCCCGGAAGTCCCTGGTCCCCAGCAGCCGGGCTGCAGTGCGGCACCCTGTCATCGGCCAGAACCGGGTCCGGGGTGAGGCCAGGCGGAAGGCTCTGGGCTGAAGTGGCTGTGGCGGCAGCTCACACACAGGTGCTCACACGTGTTCATGCATTTTTTCTTTTTTCCTCGACACTTCATTCCAAAAACAAGGCAAAAAGTAAAAAGTGAACATTTTCAAGTGAACATTTCAAGTTATAGGAGTGACTAATTCTCACAGTGTAATTAACAGCATCAAAGGAAAAGTGTGGTTTCAGACGCCCCCCCACAGCCTCGCCTGTGGGTTCCAAGCAGGGGCCGGGAAAGCAAGTGTGACCGTTCCTGAGAGCAGACCCCCAAAGGGCCACGCCCCGAGGTCAGGTCCCTCGTGGCCCTGGAACCCTCCAGAAGGTCCACAGGGCCCCTTCCGGGCCTGGTGCACTGTGTACTGTCCCCACAAACCATCCTTGAGAACGAAACCGGACCAGGCGCTGGCCTCGCCCGCGCCTGACCTGGGACTCGCGTGGTCGAGGCAGGGAGTGCGACAGTGGTCGCGAACGACAGTGAGGGGCCGAGTGTCCGGTTCCGTTTTGCGCCGTCTTATGACCCAGTGCCCTTGAAGTCCCCTACTGGGTCTGCCTAGACTCTTAACTGCTCTGTGTCGAGCGGACGTTGAAAGGCGCTTGGAAGACTCATGAAGGGCTTATGAAGGGCTCCGTTCTGGGGAGAAGCCAGGACCTCTGAGCACGCCGCCCCACCTTCCCGGTGACCCACCCCGAGTGGCTGGGACAGCGAGAGGTGGGCGGATGGGGCCGCTGTCCAGAGTCCGAGTTCCCCCAACAGGAAGCAGCCGCGAACGCTTTCTACTGAGGGAGAGGGATGGTGCGTGACCCGAAGGCCCTTGACCCCGGCGCCCTGCATGGGACACGTCCCCTTTCTGTGGCCCTTCTGCAGTGACTGCGGCAAGGAAACTAGTTTCTAATACGTCCGGGGATTATTTTGCTTGGAAAATCAGATTTTTAAGGAAGGGAATCAACTCAGCTTCCTACTCAGAATTCCCTGCGGGGCCACGGCCACCACCCCGCACCTGCCACTTCTGCTCTGCCTCTTGCCTGGCTCACGCCACCTGACCTCTGACTGTGCCTCCCAGGGCCGTGCTGGCTCCTGCTGGGCTTTGCAGCTGCCACTCCTTCTGCCTGGAAAACCTTGCCCCGGATATGGGGCGCTGTCCCCCACCCTTCTGGCCTCAGGTCAGTGGCACGCCCGCAAGGCTCCCTGAGCACCCTGTCTGGAACGGCGTGCTCCCCACAGCCCCTCGTGCTGCTCTCAATTTCTCGTTGATCGTCCCTGGGGCCAGGCCCAGTGCCGTGCACCCTGTGCTCTCAGCCTCCGTGCCGCCCTGAGCCCCCGCACTTACGCTCGCCCGCGTCGGCCTCGAGTCTCCCTCCCGCCTGCGCACGCGCACCCTGCTCTGGGCCACGAGGAAATGAAAGGATGCGCCATTCGAAACGTGCGAGTCTCTGTAAATTTCCGACCCAGCTGGACCCAGTGGGGCTTGCTCCGCGCCTAAGCACACAGAGCCGTCACCTTTCCACGGGACGGCGGGCAGCAGGCAGCCGCCGGTGCCACCTTCCTCTGTGGGGAGAGGCTGCCTGTGGCTGCAAAGCGTCCTCATCTGCCACTGTGCGGCCGGGTGAAAGCCAGGCCGTGGTCTGTGTTCACGAAGGCCCCTGTGCGTGTGGGCGGACGCACTGCACCATCCCGGCCCCCGAGAGCTGGCCCCCCAGAGTCAGCCTCCGGGTCCATGTGCCTGTCAGCAAACCCAGCCGGCCCTTGAACTGGGTCCTGCTTGCTCAGGGGGCACCGGCTTCAGAGGGGCTTCGCACACTAAGCGTACACCTTCCAGGGTCCCTGGGCCCATCACGTAAGACAAATGCTGGCCAGAGACGGGGCGCAGTCAGCAGTAATAGCAGACAGGACCAGTGACCGGAATTGTTTCCCTGTAGACTCAATAAACTTTGAAATGAGCACGTAACTGGAGGGACTTCGGGCGTGTACCGTCAGCAAAAGCTGATAAAAGCATAAAGGAAAAATAGATCGAAATACAGAAAGATAAAATTCAGGTTGTCCAGAGCATACCACATTCAAACGTAAAAGAAGAAAGCCGATCTTGGAAAAAAGTTACAAAACCAGCCAAGGGTAACCGTATTTGACAGATAACAGGAGAGTCAACAGGAGAAGACGTCCCCTGACAGCGGTGGGCGGGCTCCGTCCACGCCCTTCTGGGTGACCTGTGACCTCACCCGTGTGCCATGCATCTTCCTCCATGACATGGGACAATTATGGCACTGACTTCACAGAGCTGCCGTGAGCACTAAAGCGAACGATGTGAGCCGTGGCTCGGTTACCCCCGCCTGGCCCGTGGCCCCTGCAGTCACGCTCGCGGCCACCCGGCCCAGACGCCAGGCTGGGCTGAGACACCACGTCCCCGCCGAATGGTTTGCAGAACCCTGAACCAATGACACGGGCCTCGCCCTTCACTCGGCTCAGCGCTAGGTTCTCAAAGAACTAGGTGCTTCCTAGAAAGACGGCGGTGCGTGGAGCCAGCCCAGCTGCCCCCACCCCGCTTGACGCTCTGCCCCCACGCGACTCCCTGCTCCTCCAGGTCCGGGCCACGAACCTGCCGCTCTCCCAGCGCCCTTACTCCCTGTGCCCGGGGGGCCTGTGAGGACTTCGTGAGCCCCCACGGCCGCCACCGCCCGCCACTGCCCACCCACCGGGAAGACGGAGACCGACCCCCAGCTGCCGGGCTCTCGGAGAGCGGGCGTTGGGGACAGGGGGGCGGGATTCCTTCCAGACACGCCTGCGTGGCCCTTTAATTGCTCATTAACCGGTGCTCAAAAAAGTAGCAATAATCGTGTGAGCGCAAAAGTCACAATTGAAATAAAGGAGTAAATGCGAAGGAAAAGCCAAGAACGATGTCCCAGTGCGAGCGGCCCCCGTGGGGGACGTCTGCTGACAAGGAGGAGCCCCTGCGACGGACGGCCTGGATCAACGGCAGCCGCCGGGGCGGTGCGGGACGGACCGGGGGCTAATGTGCTAACTGGGCCGCACCGCCCGGAGACACCGCGCTCCGTCGGAGCCTCAGCTTCCGGGTTCCCGGGACCGTCTGGCGGGAGGAGGAGGAGCGGGCGCCCTGCAGCCCCAGGAGGCCCGCCCCCCACTTGCTGGTTGCGCAGGAGCCCCGCGTCTCCGCTCCGCAAACCCTCGGACCTCGCCGTCCATCCTCCTCCCCTGCTCCATGCTTAAAACGGACGCTCCTTCCCGCTGGGCCGCACTGCCGTGCGGGCTCCAGGCCCGGGACCGGTCTGTCTGGCTGGCAGCGGCCCCACGAGCCCTCTGGGCACCACCCTCAGCTGCGGAGTGGAAGCGTCTGACTAACGTGGCCCTGCGGGGCGCGAGCGTGGGGTCACCGCGGGGGCCGGGCCGTACCTGCGGGGATGACGCCGATGCGTAGCGAGCTGGGCACCAGCGCCGCCCGCGGCTGGTTCTGGTCCACCCCAGCGCTCCTCTGCGTCCTGCCGACCAGGCCGTGCAGGACCTCGCTGAACATGCCGTCCCCGCCGACGCAGACGACGCTGCGGGAGCAACACGGGTGTGTTAGTGTCCCCGCTCCGCCGTCCCCGACCCCACGGGTGCGTTAGTGTTCCCGCACCGCTGTCCCCGACCCCACGGGTGCGTTAGTGTCCCCGCACCGCTGTCCCCGACCCCACGGGTGCGTTAGTGTCCCCGCTCCGCCGTCCCCGACCCCACGGGTGCGTTAGTGTCCCCACTCCGCCGTCCCCGACCCCACGGGTGCGTTAGTTACTGTCCCCGCTCCGCCGTCCCCGACCCCCACGGGTGCGTTAGTGTCCCCGCACCGCCGTCCCCAACCCCATGGGTGCGTTAGTGTCCCCGCACCGCTGTCCCCGACCCCCTCTCCATGGATCGTCACAGCATTCCTGTGAGGGACAGCATGTCACAGGCGGCTGGCTGGACAGTCTCGACCCCTGGGGACACCAGGGTGGCCCACAGTGCGGCCGGCTCGGTGGCCACTGACTTCCTGGAGCTCGTGCCCTGCCCCCTGGAGCAGGTCCCTCTCCTTCCCGCGGTCAGAGCTTTCCGGCCCCATGTAGTGCCCAGCCCTGGAGCACAGACCTCTGACCCACGTGGCATCCACCCGGAGGCCAAGGCTCCCAGAGGCCACAATGGGCAGGCCAAAGACCAAGTGCCAGGCCCTGCTGTGTGTCCCTCAGGCTCCACTCACAGCAGACAATGCCACCACCTCTTCGGCCCATGAGCCTGTTCCTCCCTTCAGGCCTAGCTGCTAAAACATCGCCAGACAGAAGAAAACCAGAACAGACTCCCAAGGCCCCCAGGAACTCGGCCAACACCCGGCAGGCATTCTGGAAGCTGCACCCGTGACAGGTGACAGCGGCCCCTGCCCTCCTGAAGGTCCCTCCCAGTCCCCACCCGATGCTTCTTTCCCATTTCTGTTGGGTAACTCCACTCACTGCTGTCCCCCGGCTACTGTCCCCGACCTGCTGTCCCGGGCTGCTGTCCCTGAGGTGACCTGCACCCCCTTGGGGAACAGTGACCCGACTCCCAGTGTGTGACTCGCACGTCTGTTTCCCAGAGGCCCTGGTCCAGGGTCACTCTGCACACGGCCTGACGGCCCCAGGGCCCACTTGAGAACCCCGGCTTTGTGACTCCTAGAGCCTCCTCAGCAGCACTGACACGGGGCGCAGGGGTGGCGCCATCACCTGGACCTCACTGCAGGCGAGGCACAGACCGGGACCGGACCTCAGCCATCCGGCGCTCAGCCGCCCCTGAGCCTCCTCGCTGGCCAGACTGGGAGGGCCACCTCGCCCAGCTGAGCCCACGGCCGCTGACATTCCCCACACGGGCTGCGCTGTCATCGTTAAACCCTGCTTCGACCCTCGTCTCGCGGCTCGACATGGCCGCCGGCACGGGGCTGGGAATCCCTGTCTTCAAGAGCCGGTGGTCACTGGGACCAGCCGACTCTCCCAAGACGCGCTGGAGACCATCCCCTCTGCCCGTGCCCTCTGCCACTATCCAGCCAGCTTGTCCACAACCCAGACCCTCCCCCGACCTCCCTGGGTCTAAGCCCCCGTCACTGCTGCTCAACACGTGGCCTTCAGAAGTATCTTTCCGAAACGCGGGCCTGATCCTGCGGCGCCTCTAAGCCGCTTTCCTCCCATGGAATCGACCACCCTTCCCCGGTGCCACGTGCCAGCCGTGCCAGCTGGGGGGCAGCTGTGCTCCAGGCAGAGGAGGCCGGCTCTCCAGGACCTGGCGTGCCGGCAGGACAGACGACACGAATGCGAAATCGCAGGACGGGCCATGCCGGCACCACTCATTCTGTGTCGCAGCAGCCAGCACCGCACACCGGGCTCTGACTAAGAGCAGACACCACACAGACCCGAATGGGGACACTCGCCACAGAGGGACCGGCTGGCGCCCTCCCGATTCAGCCACCCCGAGGAAGGCCGACTGCTGCACGTTACGGGAGACCAGAGAGGCGTGACAACCGCATCTGAAGGCAGTGCGTGATCCGGAGTTTTCGCGTGCCATCGAGAACTAAGGGGACAAGTGGCAGAATCCGAGTAAAGGCGGCACATAGATAACAGTGTTGTACCGGGACCATCGTGTTCTGGTTCTGTAAGAGAATACCCCGGTTGTCAGGAACTAGAGACTGAGCTATCTGGGGACAACAGGTGACCGTGTCTGTAACACCCTTTCGAATGAGTCCAGGCAGTATAGTAAGACGCGAAGGAAAACAAACCCATTACACGGCGGTTCCCTCCGGGTAGCAGAGGACGCAGGACGCCGAACTCTGCCTTTTCTAATTTTCTACGAGAAACGTGTTTACTTTTACAACTAGGAAAAAAAATGGTAGAAAGGGAGCCAAAAAAAAAAAACTAAGACAGATGGGTGAAACCTGCTTAGAATTTACCGCTTAATCAAGATGAAAGACGCCTACTCACCCATCGTACGTGTCTATGTTCATCTCGTACAGACTCTCCTTGGCGTGATTAGCACGTTCGGTAACTGTGGGGATAATACTACATCAGACGCTCTGTATTCACACCTCCGAACCCTCACTTAAAAATAAAGGCAAATACACCATTCTCTTAAAATGAGGCCCTCTAGAATCCTCAGGAGGGTTTCCCACACGAAGTCCCTTCGTAGATCTAGCCCCAGTCCCTCTTGGAGAAACAAACTGAGGTGACCTCGATGGCACGCGACCCTCTCTCGGAACATACCACGGGACAGAGGCGTCACGTTCTTGGCATTTAACTGCCAACGAATAATGACTGACTTTTTTAAAAGAAATTACTCTCCTACTTTATATTTTTTCCTTATCATCCAAGTTACTTAAAAAACTTTAGAATATACCAAAATATAGAAAACATTAGTCCAGAGTCTGTAAATTCAACATGAGAAACAAAATCTCTACTGAAATTCTGCTGTACACGAAATTTCATGTCACAGCTTTCCTGATAACATGTCACGATCATTTTTCGTATTGTTAAAAATTCTTGGTAAAGACTACTTTAGAGGACTATGTACTGTTCCTGCGGAGTTGCTAGTCCTTCCGTTTTTCTGTCTCCCGTTCGGGGGCATTTGTTATCAGTGCTTTGCTATTATAAACTGTGGCAAAGGACACCTGTGTCCATCGCCGTCTGTGGACATCCTAGAAAACTGGAATGCTGGGCAAAACCCTGCCTTTTCAGGCTCCTGACCCCGTCCAGCGGCCCCCTGCCAGGCACTGTTGGACAGTGTACACGAGCCCCTCGGCCTGGCAGGGGAGGGACCGCCCTCCCGGCATCGAGAAACTGCACCAGAAACTCGGTCCAGGGACATGGCCTTGCGCTATGGTCCCTGAACTGCCACTTGTGGTGAAACTGCTTAGCGGCCTTGCGCTATGGTCCCTGAACTGCCACTTGTGGTGAAACTGCTTCTCAGACTCATGAATCGCTGCGTCTCTTGCAGAATCCTCCGCCCCGCTCTCTGTCCATCGCCTGCTTAGCGTTTTTCCTCGGCGCTCTACAGCGAGGTCTTGGCTAGAAAACTGTGTTCTTTCCCGTGCGTTCTTCTCGTTCTGATTTGTAAAGCCACACGTTCGGGTTCGCTTACGCTGATCTGATGACGGTCTCTAGTGAGCGTACGGGACGCGTCCCCACATCGACGTCTGCGTAGCTGGCAGACTCGCCCCTTACCGATGATCTCGGTGGTGATGGAGGCCAACGTGAACAGCGGCGCCACCTTCCTCGCGTAGATCCTCTCGCCTCGTCCTTTCCCTCCAAACGGGTTGATGAACACCAGCAAATGCTTCGGTCTAGACGCTGCAAAACAAGAATGAGTGAGTCACGACGAAGGGCTGTGTCCCTCAACAGCATCGGACCCCAGGCTTCTGCTGAGCGCCTTCCGCCGAAAGCTGTCTCCGTTCACACGGCAGCGCGGAAGAACCTACTCTGTGGGAAGAGGGAAGTGACAGCCTGTCAGAATGGGGGGTGCTCTGCACGCCGGCTCAATGTGACAAGTCCCAGGAATTCAGAATGTGGCCTGAGAAAGATGGTCCCCAGTGAGATGTCCTAGGGGACGTACGTTCTAGAAGCAGCAGGAAAGTGGGTCGGCAGAGAGGAGAATGAAGCAGACGTGCGAGAAGCAGCGTTAAGGGAGGATGAGCAGAGGCGGGCACAGGGAGCGCGATGTGCAGATGGCGGACGTGGACGGCACCGGCCTCACGGCCCCCAGTTCCCGTCCTTCCGGGGCCCAGCCAGCCTCCGACACCGGGATCTCCCGACTCACCCCGTGTGCCCATAACAACTCCCACATTGCTGTTTAGGTCAGTTGAGGCAGGTTCTGATACTAAGAAAAAGAAATTTAAGTAACAAATCAATAGAAGTAGCGAGAAGGTGCATTCCCAAGAAAAGGGGAAAGGGCGAGCCGCACAACGGGAGAGGGAAAATAGCTAATTCGTAAATCCGATGATGATTCAGATCCACCATATGTAAAGAGTTTCTCCATATAAAGAAGACAACAGCCCAAGAGAAAAATGGACAAAAGACTTGAACAGACACCTGACAGAAAAAATTTTGCAAAGGGCCCATAAACAGGAATGCATTTCCCAACCTCATGGGCTGTCAGGGAAATGCAAATTCAGGCCATAGTCCAGCCTGCCACACCACCGGCATGGCTAAGACGTGGGCAGCCAGCACCTGACGTTCTGCTGGGGGGAGTGTCGCGGGAGCACGCACGCCGGAACAGTCTGGTGGCATCTGCTGAGGTTGGGCACATGTATCCGAGGACTGCAGACGTGTCCACCCAAAGACACACACTGGAGGGTTCATGATGGCCTGTAACAGCCCATACCAGGAAGCCAGCCAGCGACTGTCACCGGTAACACAAATGAATAAAGGGGCATGCAACCTCGCCACGGGGCGCCACGCGGCCACAGCGTGCATGAACCTCACAGACATTACCGCTGAGCCAGACGCCGGGCACAGAGCTGACGCTGTGTGAGCGGTTTGTAGGGAGCGCAAAATGAGTCCCACTGCGGAGTCGGGTAGGTCGCCCCTGGGGAGTGGTGACGGGTGGGGGCGGGCTGCTGGCAACACTCTGTGGCTCGATCTGGGAGCTGGCTGCACCGCTCGGCCTGCGAGAGCTCCCTGCTGCACACCGGGGCGTGCTGTGTGACGCTTCCGTCACGCCGCTGTTCCCATCACGGGCGCCGTGCTTCTCATTTCTAAGTCCTAGTGCGCTTGCGGGTTAGGACGGAACGTGGTTAGGGGTTCGAACGACAGTGACAGAATCAGGCAAGACTTCAGCTGCAAGCAGACCGCAGCACACGTGCACTCTGCGAGTTCAGGGCACTTCCTCTTGGGCTCTGAGCGTTAAAGACTCAAAGTCTCAGCAAAGTGACAGAGGAACGGACGGGGGCGGGGAGCAGGCGACACAGGCCATCCTCGGAACGGACTCGTCACGGTGCAGGAGACAGGGACAGAGCGCTGGGCCTGAGACGCGGGGAAAGGCAGGGTGCACTCGCAGGCAGCAGGTGAACCCCGCATCTCACAGAACGAGACGGAATGGGAAGGCGAGGTGCAAGGACCCAATGTCGGGGCCCCAAGGACAGCGCCCGCAGCGGAGGCCACGCTTCAGGCACCACACCGTGCTGGTCCCCTAACCAGGAGGTCTGTAAGTGTCACTGTGACGTCCCGCCTACAGCTGGGTCACAGGCGCTGTGGGAAGGAGGGCGGAAGCCGAGGTCACAGCAGCACGCACAGGCACGTGCACACATGCACACACACGCAAGAACAGCAAGCACAGGCACCACAGCCACTCTGCCTTTCTCGGCATAGCGACAGACACGTACTCAGCTTGTCCAGCTGCTCCCGAAGGGTCTGCAGCCACAGGTGGCACAGCTGCTCGTCGGCACAGCAGAAAGTCACCTGTGCACACCGCCAGCGGTGGCGCCGGGCTCTCCTCACGCGGTGCACTGCACAGAGACGGGCACGTCAGTTCCCAGCCCGCGCCCCGCGG